CCGCCCACTGCGCGGGTCCGGGCCCTCCTGCGGGGGGCGGAGCGCTGGGCGCGGGCAGCGCGGGACTCCGGGAAGGACAGGTGGGCGCCCTGAGTGGGTAGGGCCCTGCGTGCGTGAGTGCTGTTGGCCGGACCGGGAGCCTGAGCTGCCCTTCCCTGGCTCTGTGTCCACACCCACCCACGGCCGGAGCCACCCAGCCGCCAGCCAGCCGACCTGGGTGTCCCAAGGGGACCTCCTAGGTCCTAGAGTCCTGCAGCTGCGAGAAGTCACAAGCCCCTGGTAGTGGGTCTCAGTGTCAAGGGCGATAAAGCCAAGCTTGGTGGTGACCCGGGAGTCGCTTGAAAGAGGCTCCTTTCCCAGGGTGGACACGTTGTCACAGCTCCTAGCTACGGGAGGCTGGAGGGGGGTGGCCATGGACAGCGGCGGGCCCGGCCCCTCCTGGAGCGACCTGCCACAGCTGCTAGGGTAGGTCGGGCTGTTGGTGCGAGCAGGGGTTGCTGCGGGCTCAGGGAAGTGGGAGGGGCACTGAGTTCTCTCTGGGGTGAGGCAGATGCTCGCAAGTCCACTGGTGATGGGTGCACGTGTCTGTGAGTATACCGAAACCACTGAATTGTACACTGTAAGTGGGTGAGCTACGTGTAGTATATCTTGGGGCTGGTTGAAATGGATTTCAGCTCACAAGCCATGCCTCCCAGCGAGGCACCACTCTGTTTGGGCAGCAGTGAGGGAAGCAACCCCTTCTCCAGGAATCCTTTGCCCATCTCAGCTTTGAGGTCCATCAGTCCGGAGCCTGTATCTCCTCTCTTGCTATTGTGGAATCTCGGGCAGATGACTGGACCTCTCTGACCCTGGGTTTCCCATCTGTAAAATGAGGCTAGGTGATTCCTCTCTAACAGATGTTATAGAAGGAACTAATGAGATCATCTTTATTGAGTGCCCAGCCCAGTACCTAGCACTTAGTAAACACAGAATCAATGTTTGCTGTTATTATGTCATCCATTAGTTCAACAGACATTAGTCGACTCTCCTGCGTGCAACTGGCCAGACAGATAAAAGCCTCAGGCATTTGCTCACGCTCTGGTTGGGAGGCAGACACTCTCGCCACTGAGACAAATGCTGGCTCTGAGGAGTGAAGAGCTTTCTGAGTAGGGAGAGAGAGGAAGGGGTCCTGACTGTTGCAAAGCCCACACTCTTTTTTTTTTTATTTCCATTGCTTCATTTTGATTGAAAACACCTGCACCTGACCTACCTTCGTCCTCTGTGTTGTTCCAGTTGTTCTTGGAGAACTTGGATTTGATCTACAAGGGTAAAGCTTCCGTTTGTTCAAGATGGACTCTGAAGCATTGATTTTATTTTGGAAATGTGTTTACACTCATTTTTTTTGTTTGTTTTTGGGGGGTGTTTTTTTTTGCAGCAAAGAAAGTAAGGGTTTATTTTCAGGAAGTAGCCCATGTCCGAGACAAGGGAGCTAATGCTCAAAGACCTGGCTCTACACTCAGTTTTTTAATCCCATCTAGCATGTTACACGAAATTTGTTGAGAAGTCTGCCTTAACCTTTGACCCTCCCTCCCATTTCCTGGCCCGATGTTACAGAATTAGGGGGAGGTGGCACTTTAATGGGAACATTGCACCCCAAGGCCTGTCTTCTGCTCACTTGTATCAGCACTGCCAGAGCCAGCTATCACACAGGACTGAGGCCTAGTGATGGAATTCCCAGTAATATCCACCACAGGGCTGCACTGTCCAGTGGTAGAAATAGCACCCATGCCAGCTGGGTGCCTGGTAGCCTTTGCAGGCCTAGATGTCAACAAGGCAACTTTGTCCAGGCCATGGTGAGACCTCACCCACCATGAGGCACCTCTTCTCTCCCAGGGTCTGTGTCTGTCTCTGTGCCCAATTCTTTTTTTTTCCTCCAAAATATTTTTATTGATTTTTAGAGAGAGAGGAAGGGAGAGGGGGAGAGAAAGAAACATCAATGTGAGAGCAAAATATTGATCAGCTGCCTCCTGCATGCCCCCGACTCGAGAATCAAGCTGCAACCTTTTGGTGGTGTACAGGACGATACCCAACCAACTGAGCCACACTGGCCAGGGCTCTGCACCCAATTCTTAGCCCTTGGGCCCTCCCTGCTAGACTGTCTTTCTTCATGTGATGTTCTGCACTCTCCATGCAGCTCTGGCTTCTCCACTGCAATCACAGCCTGGTTCCCTATGGGACTTGGCACTATCTCTCCCAAACAAATATCTACCCACAAGCTCTCTAACAGTGTTTGCTCTCAGCACATGGCTCACCCTCTCATCCGTTCTGGGAGGTTCTTTTTGTAAGCATTAACCTATCTTCCGATTTGGGCGCCCTTTGCCTTTCTGTAATATTAATGATAACAGCTTCTTAGGTATTGATGTTACTAATCTGGACCTTGTGGTAGCCCTGGTATCAGGGCTGGTACACAGCCTGCAGGGCAGTGCTAGTTGGTTGCTGATTGGTCAGTGCCTTAACTACTGTTGTCAAATATTTTAAAAATCACCAGAATTTGCACAGATTATTTAATTAAATCCTTACAAGCCTATTGGGTAGGTACTGTTTTTATTCCTATTTTCTAGATGAGCAAAAGAAGCACAGATGTGTGAAGGAAGTTACCCAAGTGGGACAGCTGGGTCTTGAACCTGGGTCTGTCTGACCCTGAGCCCATTTTCTCAGCCACCACCCTGTCCCCATGAGTACCCTGACCTGCTGCAGCCTCTGCTTACTAAAGTAAGATCTAAACCTCAGCCTCTTAGTACAGGACAGGAGGGACGGCAGCTTTCCCAGACCACTGGAGCCCCACTTTCTATGTGGAACGCTCCCAATTGAGAAGCCAGGCCAGTAACCAAAGGCTCTTGGGAACTGGATCGATTCTTTGCCATGTGTGCCAGGAGCAGATCCAGCCAGCTGTGCTGTGGGCCTGCCAGGGCCATTCGGGTTGGTCAGCAAACATGTCTGGAGCTTCTGCTATGTGTCAGGCCCAACTCCAGAGGCAGGCAGGCAAGACTCAGACCTTGCCTTCGGAGCACCAGGAGCTTCTCATCCCTGCGACCTCAGATGCCCCTACTGAGAGGGGTCCCCTGTAGGCCATGTCTTTATTTGGTGCCCCAACCATGTCCCCAAAGTTCCTGCCCTCTAGGCTGAGGACCACCCTGTCAATGGCCAAGAAGCAAATCCAGACACACAAGATGCAGCTGACAGCTCAGGGCTGCGGCCATCTCTTTCTGCATTTCACACTGGGCACTGTGACTGGCAGAGAGCTCCAGGCCACCAGGGGTGGGCAGAACTGAGACTGGCCAAAGGCAGGGAGCTGGGGAGGGAGAGGTCTTCAGGCTGCAGTAGGAGCCCCAGGCTTGTGATGCCTGGGTCTTGGGCCCCACCCCATTCTCTCCCCTCGGCTAACACTCTTGGCTCAGTGCTAGGCAGTGAGGAGCTTATGGGAAAGGTCCTGGGGCCCAGTATGTCCAACAGAGCGAGTAGGAAGGGGGTAGGGGTTAATGGAGCCCAGGTACCACCTCCATGGGCAGTCCCTCACACTGCCCTCAGCAAAAAGTCACCTGTCCTAAGCCTGTAGCCCACTGGCCTAATTTTTCCACAGCCCTTCTTTTCACTGGTACCATGGTGTCTACCCACCCTCCATTCCACTGTGTATATTCCCACAGCTGCAGCTTCCTGAACAAGAGCTGGCAGCCGCTGGAGAGAGGACCTCAGACCCTGGCATCTGACTATGCCCCTCTGTGACCCTTTCCAGGTCATGTGTGGCCTTATATAGCCCCTCCAAGAGCCACTGCATCACTGAAGTCCCCTCC